AGTAGTAGTAGTAGTAGTAGTAGTAGTAGTAGTAGTAGTAGTAGTAGTAGTAGTAGTAGTAGTAGTAGTAGTCGTAGTAGTAGTAGTAGTAGTAGTAGTAGTAGTAGTAGTAGTAGTAGTAGTAGTAGTAGTAGTAGTAGTAGTCGTAGTAGTAGTAGTAGTAGTAGTAGTAGTAGTAGTAGTAGTAGTAGTAGTAGTAGTAGTAGTAGTAGTAGTAGTAGTAGTAGTAGTAGTAGTAGTAGTAGTTAGTAGTAGTAGTAGTAGTAGTAGTAGTAGTAGTAGTAGTAGTAGTAGTAGTAGTAGTAGTAGTAATAGTAGTATTCGTAGTAGGAGTAGTAGTAGTAGCCGTAGTAGCCGTAGTAACCGTAGTAGTAGTCGTAGTAGTGGTGGTAGTGGTCGTAGTGGTAGTAGTAGTGGTAGTGGTAGTAGTAGTAGTAGTAGTAGTAGTAGTGGTAGTAGTAGTAGTAGTAGTAGTAGTAGTAGTAGTAGTAGTAGTAGTAGTTGTTATAGGAAGAGGAGGAGGAGGGAGAAGGAGGAGGAGGAGGAGGAAGGAGGAGCTGGAGGATCGCCACCCGATGAGGGAGGAGAGGGAAGGAGGGTCCGCATGAGTCGTGGAGGAGCACCTCGTCGAGCCACCACTCTTCGCCAGGCGTCGAGGGTTTTCCTGAGGTGACGGCTGGAGCGGCGGGGCGGGTATGTGCGACAATACTGGAACGCCGTCGTCGCCAAATCGATAGCTAAGGCGCGTGAGACCAGACAGTCGTGTGCACTCGAGGGCCATCAATGGGGGAACATCGCATCTGGGGGGTAATTTTCCCAACTGTCGGGAAGCAGGACGAGGAGGAGCAGAAGGAGGAATTCCTGGAATTCCTCATGGCGGGCTCCTGAGTGCAAGCTCAGCCCCTACCAACCAATCACACCTCAGTACACGTACAACACCAAGTGCCTGCAGCCCAAGATGAAAACGATGCCATGCAACCCAGAGAAGGACAATACCACCACCCCGAAAGAGACGACGAAGAGCCACGCTGCAGCCGCCCACGGCACCATGGCGAGCGCCAAGCTTCTTTCAACCATGAGGAATCCAATCCACAGTAAGGCAAGCCGTAGCCCCGTCCGAGTTGAAGATAAAGGCCGTACCCGAGAGGAACACAACAGCGAAGAACATGCCGAGCAGCAGGTACCCAGTACGGCGCGACAACACACCACCCCAGGCAATGTGGCCCACGTGCTGATTGACGTAAGCAGCGCCCAAAGCATGCAAACAAGGGCACTCCAGGCCCTGGGCGAGGGGAATACTAGCCACCACGGCTCGTCCCTCGAGCCCGCAACAGTACACGAAAAAGACCAAGTACCTGCGCCACAATGAACACGATGCCATGCAACCGAGAAAAGGACAATGCCACCACCTCGAAACAAGACGAAACACAGATACAAGCTCCCTGGCGAGAGCGTCTAGAAGTGGGCCAGGTATGAAACACCATCTTCACCAGCGCAGCCACGAAGAACGTGGGGAGTATTTTCCCGCGCGTCCAAACAGAAGATAACATAACACAGCAATTTGATGGGTAGCATTTCCAGTCCAATAGCTAGCGCCTCTAGTTCAACTGGTAGTCGCGACTTTGCAATTGTGAGGGGGCAACATCGCCATGAATACCAGGGAGAGAGTGATACGACCGACCGCACCCGACCGACCGCGACCAATTTCAGACGGCGAGGAAGGAGGGGAGGGGAAGGAGGAATAGGATGATGCCATCCAGACGTCAAACGCTTGTCAGAGCAGCACGTTTGGGTTGAGGAGGACAGGGGACCTGGTACCTATCACACCTCCTGTCCAGCACTCGTCTGACGCCCTACGTTTGCCAAATGCAGGTGTGCTCCCCCTCCCCCCAACTCCTTCGGCGCAAAAGATCCGCGACCGATCGCGACCGTTCGCGACCAGTCGGTCGCGACATGTTCTGAACACGTCGGTCGCGACCGATCCCGGAATCGGAAGCAACATCGGCAGCGACCAGTCTCGTCGGTCGCCCAAGGAACATCCCAATGTGCATGCTCGAGGTCTGGGCGGGGGGGAGAAGCCCTCGTCGCCACCGTTGGACTCTTCTGGGAGCTCGTCTCCCCGTTGTCGGGACCGGCCTCCCGGCAACAAAGCTGCGGCCCGCGACGAGCGCCGGGCGGCCGCCGGCGAGCTGGCGTTCTCGGACTCAGGCTCCCACTAAAACGGGTGGCAGCGCGACGTGCGCCTGGTTCGGCTACGCGCGAGAGCAGCCCCAAGCTAGAGTGACCTCTGGAGGCGTGGCTCGCCGACCGTCGCGCGCGCGATGCGGCAGTGGCGCCTGGCGCGCTCTGGCTGGGCCCCCCCTCCCGCGGCCCCCCGAGAGCCAAAGGCCAATCCAACGAAGGGTCACCCTTGACGTGTAGCCGACAACAGCGAGCCAGCACGACCGGAGGACGAGGAGGGGGAGGAGGAGGAGGAGGAGGAGGAGGAGGAGGAGGAGGAGGAGGAGGAGGAGGAGGAGGCGACGCTGGAGGACGAGGGCACAGAGGAAGCGCAAGCTACGGCCAGGAAGCGGCCGGGGAATAACGGCAGGGCCGTCGCTCCCGACGAAGCCGGCCACGTCCGTCGCCAGGGCCTGCCCGCGAAGGCCTTCGAGGGCGAGTTCTGCGGGCGCCGCCGTGGAGCCCCCAAGCGTCTGGCGCGCCGCGCAGGACGTTGCAGCTTCCTTCCAGCACGCGCCCTGGTGCAGCGCTGGCGGCGCGACGTGCGCCCGTGGCGAGCCGCTGGGCGTGGGCTTCGCGCTTTCCTCTGGCGGTGCCCAGCGGCGCGATGTGCGCCGCCAGGCTCGAGCGGGCACGCTCGGGGCGGGCCCGCGCGACGGCGGCGTCGGCAGCGACGCGACGTGCTCGGGCGCGGGCTGGTGGTCGGCCGTGTGCCCATGGGGCGAGTGACAGCACGCGCTGCCAGATCGCTCGGGGGGAAGGGACCCAGACCTCCTCGCGTTGTACAAAGATCACGACGGGAAACTGTCAGAACTCTCGGCCTCTGCGGGCCCTTAACGGGCAGGCCTTCTCGGAAGGCGACAGGTCTTTCTCGGAAGCCCTCCGGGCCTCCGAGGAGCCGCCCCTGTCTTTGGAGAGGCCTCGGAGAGCTTCTCGGCAAGCAGGAGACCGCCCGGGCCCGCCAAGCAGGCCCCGCCCCCCCCGGCCCTCTCCCCCGGTGCGCCGCCGAGGCCTGCTCAGAGTGAACTGCATGGCGACGGCACTGGCAGCACCGCTGGCAACGGGGTCTACGCCAGACGCGAGCTGGCTGACTCGCCTTGGCCTTCCTGCTCGCAACTCTGGCATCAAGTCGGGCGTGTCCCCCCGCAGGGGGATCTTCGAACAATGCAATATATACTCGACAAATACTCAAAACATAGTCTCCACACACACATATATATATATATATATATATATATATATATATATATATTCATTCCTCTTCCTATATTCTTAGAAGCCCGGGCGGGGGGAAAACCCGTCCCCCCCCAAAACCGGACTCCCAGGATCTGGAGCTTTGGGACCCGCCAGACGGGCCTCGAAGCGGCCACCGGGCCTCACGCGGCGTTTTGCCAAGCTTTCCCAGCACACCTAGGGCGATCAGGGGGGTCATCGGAGACGTCCCAGAGACCCCCAAGACAGCACAAGAGCGCTCCAAGAGGGACCGACGTGACCTCAAGATGGCCCAAGAGGCCACCAGGACTACCCCAAAGAGGCCTCCAAGACCACTCCCAAGAAGGCCCCCCGAGGCAAACATTATTGATTTTCTGTGGGTTTTTGGTGAATTTTAGGGTTCTCCTCTTTTCGGCTTCCCGACGCTCCAAGACGGCGGTCTTCTGGGCGTCCGAAGCCGCCTGGGAGGCTCCCAAATCGGCCCACAACCATCCGAAAGGGCTTCCAGGCAGTCCAAGAGAGCCCTAAAACGGCACAGCACGGGTCCAAGATGGCCCTCAGAGAGCCCCATGGTGGCCCAAGATGGCCCAAAGACACCCTCCGAAGAATTCCAAATAGTGATTCGGTCGTTCAGGGAGACCGCGGTTGGAAGCAGGGTGGCCCGAGGAAGCCCCAGGAGGCTCCCAGAATACGCCCAGGAGGTCTCCAGAAGGCCTTAAGAAAGCCTGAAACAACTTTTGTGAGGCCACTAGAAGCTCTCCAAGGAGGAGCCTCCGCAGAAAAGAGCTGAGGAGGATGGGGAGAATGCGCAGGGCGTGGCGAAAATAAGGAAAAATATGCATGGAGGAAGGATAACGAATCACATTACTATAGCGGCGATGCCAGAAAAGGCAACCATGAGTTAACGCTAAATTGTCGGCTTGACCTTCCTGCTATTCCGCCTGCATACCAAACTTCACGGACCAAGGTGCATGGCGCGAAGCGCCACTGCAGTCTTGTGTATATGTATATGTATGTATATATATGTATATGTATATGTATATGTATATGTATATGTATGTATATATATATATATATATATATATGAATATTCCTCCTGTAGCGGGACGGGCCCGACTCAACCCCGGCAGCGCGCTGTGCCGGGGTCGCAGGCGGGTGCGCACGGCAGGGGCGTCGCGGCACCAACGCTGGCAATGCAATCTGCGCCGGGCCTGTCCCCCTACAGTTGGATTTTCGACGAAACATGAAAAACACCCGAACAATTTTCCAAAATGGTAAAAAATGCCCCAAAAAATAGTCCACAGACTTTTTTGTTTTCTCTTTAAAAGAAACTATTTTTGAATATTCCCCCTGTAGAGGGACAGGCCCGACTTAACGCCAGACGTGTCACGCTGGGAAGATCTGCGCCAAACGCGGGCCGGCGCGCTCGAATCAAACTTCCCGCCGGCTTCGCTTTCCACCCCAGCTGCTGCTGGACGCGAACCGGCACTGTCGAAAACACCGTCACCGCGAGGCTCGCTGGAAGCGAGCCGAGCGATGACGCACACGGGATCCCCAGGGGACGACGAGAGGAGGAGGAGGAAGAGGAGGAGGAGGAGGAGGAGGAGGAGGAGGAGGAGGAGGAGGAGGGAGGAGGAGGAGGAGGAGGAGGAGGAGGAGGAGGAGGAGGAGGAGGAGCAGGAGGAGGAGGAGGAGGAGGAGCAGGAGAGGAGGAGGAGGAGCAGGAGGAGGAGGAGGGAGGAGGAGGAGGAGGAGGAGGAGGAGGAGGAGGACCGGGACCAGGAGGAGGAGGAGGAGGAGGAGGAGGCGGAGGAGGAGGAGGAGGAGGAGGAGGAGGAGGAGGAGGAGGAGCAGGAGCAGGAGGATGAGGCTGATGAGGAGGCGGAGGCCGAGGCGGAGGCGGAAGGGGAGAAGGAGGACCAGGAGGAGGAGGAGCAGGATGATCACCAAGCTCGCCAGGATATTGCAAGGGTGCCTAAACCACACCGTTGGGAATGAGGCGGTCATCGGCGAAGTACTTACCGGAGACTGTGGGGCAGCCTGCGGGAAAACACAGTGCTGCCAGACCCCAGCAGTCGGACGCCGACGGCCCACGTCCTTCCAGCAAGTGGGATGGCCGAAGCCTCGTGCCAAGGGCCGTGGTGGAGCTGGTCCATGGGGGCGGTGCCACAGGCCGTGGTGGAGCGAGCCCGCGGGGAGGACGTGGATCCAAGTGCCTCAGTTTGCGGTCTCGGCATATGTTGCTCCCATCGCACTTAAAGACCACATCCCAGAAATAGTTTCGAGCACCCGGAAAAATGTCGAAAGAGTGTCGAAACAGTGTCGGACGAGTGTCTCCCAGGGCCCGACACGCGAACACCCTTAAGTTTTGGGGTACCTTCCTTGCGCTCGACAGTCTTTTTGATGATCAAGGCTAAAGTAGGTTGGAACATTTGAAGTCTCGGCCGTGCCTTGCCATGCCCTCCTGTTGGCACTCACCAGTCGGCTGTCGCTCGAGGTGGGCATTCTCGGGAGTGCCCGAGCCGCCGCCCTGGCCTCGCGCTCTGGCGGGTGGCCTGCCTACGAAGCCAGGACGAGGATGGCATCGGGCGAGGACGAACCGAGAATCACATAGATCCCGCCAGCTTTTCGGGTCGGGCGAAGGGGGGGGATAGCAAAGGGGGGGGTTCGAGAATCAGCTAACGTAGCTGATTTTCCCGGCGCCTCCCTTCGCCAGGAGGCGCCGATGTATCGAGGAGTGGGCCCGGCGGCGGGGCCGAAACCAGCTGCAGGCAGCAGATTTCGTACCCCCCCCCGTTCCGTATCCCCCTCTTTCGTCCGGCCCGAGCTTTGGAGCACGCCTCCGGCGCCGCGGCCTCCCCAGCATAGCGTTTCGCAGCGCTCTCAGAGTGTTCGGAGACACGCTCTGGAACGGGCTCGTCCTCGTCCCAGCCCCACCCGAGACCTGGTCTAGGGACGGCCTGAACCGAGTGCCAGCCCTCCCCCCCGCGGCTCTCGCGCTTCGGGAGCGGCAGAGAGGGGGGTGCAAATCATGACCGGCGGCATGTGCGCGGCCCAGCGGGGAGGGCCCAGGACGTAGTGAAATAAGAAGAGGCGCCATGAAATCTGGGGAGATACCATGGCCCCCGCCATGATATCCACCCCCCATAGTCATCACCTAAAACGACACGAAGATCGGGACAAAATCGGATCGGGATAACTCGAAATCTCTGAGAATCGGCGGGTTTGGAGGATGTATTGGGCGCCGCGGCCGCTCCAGAGCGTTCCGGAACGCTCTGAGAGCGCTCCGGAACGCTCTGGAGCGATTTATCCCGATCCTAGCCCTGTTTTATCACCCCCCTCTTTTCCGCCCCCGAGCGCTTCCTGCCCTGCGCAGGTGCCCGGGCCGTCGCCACGAGCTCGGCCATGCCCCCCGTGGGAGGGCGGGGCGGCCGCGGTCAGGGGCGGCGTGCTGGCTCGGCGGGCCCAAACAGCCGCCAGGATGGCAGGGAAGAGGCAGCGTGCTCTCACGAGACCAGGGGGACCCCCACATCCCCTCCCCAAATCCCCTCCCCAAATCCCCTCCCCACATCCCCACATCCCCACATCCCCACATCCTGCCCCACAGGCTCGTCGGATCCAAACATCCGCCAGGATGGCAGGGGAGAGGCAGCGTGCTCTCACGAGACCAGGGGGACTACAGTCGGGGCGTCGATCTAAGGAACCCGAAATAAGGAACGAGGCCCCTTTTTCCCAGTAGTTAAACTTCGATGGCCCATCGACAACCTAAGTAACACGTGAAGCAAACTGCGAAACAAGGAAGGAACACGGAGCCCCTCCCCAACGAAAAGGGTTCCTTCTTCAACGCCCCGACTGTAGCACCAGAGCGGGGTAGGGGGATCCCCGCATCCCCTCCCCAAATTCGGCCATAGCGCGCTGGAGCGAAGCGCCAGAGTCGCGCAAATTCCCGGACCGATACGTCCCAAACGCACATTTCCAGTGCCGCGGAATCGGTGTGGCGCACCAGCTCCATGACGCTTGTGTGGGGCCTTCTGCCCGTGATTTGCCAGTGCCACTTCCATGGCGAAGTAAGGACGTGGTGTGAAACAAACACGTGCCCTCTGGAGGAGGGAGGGGAGGGGGAGGGGGAGGAGGTGGAGGAGGACTAGACCAGAATTCGTGAGATCCGAACGTGTGAACAACAGAAGGGGCAGGATGAGCAGGATCAGACAGATAAAAACCAAAAGCTGGACCGGATCCTCCGTCCTGTCCTCGTCCTCCTCCTTCTCTCTCTCTTCTCCCCCGGCCACGGGCCGGAAGAGGAGCACCACTGGGAGGAGGGCCAAGAGGGTGGAGCTGGGGGGCATGAGCAAGCCTCCGCATCGCTGAGGCTTCCGCCGAGGCCCCGAAGTGGTCCGCAGAGCTCCGCAGGAGCCGGCAGGCGCTCTCTCTCTTTCGGAACTCCGCATGCGGCTCGGGAGGATCGCGCGGAGGGGGGCGGAGGCGCGCCTGTGCAGGTGGTTGTTCTGCTTGACGGACAGCTTCGTGGACTCCAGCGACGGGGTCCCGTCCGCGAACGCCTCCGCGCGAAGGGCGGGGTGGGCCTCAGGAGAGCCGAGGTCGTGGTCGTGGCGGTCGTCGCGGCGAAGGGCCGTCGTCGCGGAAGCCGTGGACGTCGTCGCGGCCGAGTAGGGGAAGGGAAGTGGTGACGTGCTGTGGTCGGTGCCGACTGTGGCGACGAGGGGGGTGCCAGGCCCAACGGGAAACCCTGCAGGACCCTCCTCCTTCCCCTCCTCCTCCTCCTCCTCCTTCTCCTCACCCCTCCTTTCCTCGCCTCCCTTCCCCTCTTCCGCCCCTCCTTCTCCCACCCTTCCTCCTCGCTCTGTCCCTCCTCCATGGCCTTCACCCCCCCATCCTCCTCCCCTGCCACCTCCTCTTTCTCCATCCTCACACCTGCTTCTAATCTTCCTTTTCCTCCTCGTCTTCCTACCCCCTCTCTTTTGCTCTGTGTACTCCCTCCTCCTCCTGGTCCCATTCTCTCCATCTTCTCATCACCATCATCCTCCCCTCCGTGAGCTCCTTCTGATGAATCATTCCACCTCGTCTCACTTCCGGATGCGTCGACAGGGCGAGCTGCGAGTTTCGCCTGAGAGCTCCCCACCGCTTACCATCCTGAGGCCAGAATGCTCCAAGCTGTAACTCTCGCTTCAACGCCACTGAGGCTCTCGGCCGAGAGCTCTTCAAACGCGACGCAGGGTGCGACGCGGAATGCTGCGCAGCAGGTGTGCACGTGGAGGGCGCTTCCTTCTCAAGCCGGGGCTCTCGCTGCACGCTCCCTCGGATGTGGTGGCCGTGCCTCCCTCGGGTGCGCTCCCGAGGCCGAAGGACCAGGAAGGAAACAAACACACACACAGGCACAGTGCATCGTCGATTCCCTGGAAGATATGGGAAACTGTGGGAAGTGTGTGTGTGTGGGGACGACAAAGACCAAATAAGTGTGTGAACAGGTGGGGAACATCCTCTGATGAATTGCGTCTATCTGTTTGTGTGCCCCAAGGTTTTCCCTTCTCTTGCGCAGTCTGCCGAGCGCTCCAGGCAGGCGCTCGCAGCGTCAATGTCCCGAGGCCCCTTCAGAGGACGGCTCCTCTGCTTCCGCGCGGGGCTTTCGCAGCCGTACGGCAGGGCCACGGGGTGCTCCTCTTCGAGGGGGGGGCGTTTCGCGCCACGAGCACGCAGCTCGTGCGGACGACAGGGCTCGGGGCTCGGCTCGAGGAGGAGGAGGAGGAGGAGGAGGAGGAGGAGGAGGAGGAGGAGGAGGAGGAGGAGGAGCAGGAGGAGTTTATCCAGACGGGGCCACAAGCGTGCGCAGGCGACGCAAGCGGACTCAGGCAGACGCCTGACACGAGGAAAAGATCTCGGGCACCTCCCGACGGGAGTGCCACTCGAGGACGGGTCAGGAAGCCACCCCTGCTCGACATGATCGTCGTCGACCACGGCCAATCCCCCAAGGGTGGCGTCGATGACGACCTCGCCGAATGGGCGTGGCCTCGGCTGACCCTTTGCAGAAGGCAGCAGCGGACGCCCAGTGCGAGGGTGGAGGCCCTCCCAGAGACGGTCTAAACGCAAACGCGTCTTGGGGGGCACCCCGCCGTGGCAAGGCTGCGCCAGCAGCTGCGCATTCTCGCTCGAGTGCGCACACCACGTGGCGCAGAAGACGAATTGGCCCACGTGCCAGACACGGTGCCCTCCGCCTGGGGCACGCGCGGGAGGGTCGAAGGCCTCGCTGTGCCGAGCAACGCGGAAGCACCTCGCACACCTGACACCTCCCTTGGGCGCGGGCACAGGCACATGCACACCAGAGGGCGGCTCCTTGTCCGCCGAGAGGGCTGGCGTCGACCCCCGCCTCTGCACCCGCCGCAGCTGCCCGTGGCGGGGCGCCGACTGCGACTTGGGGCCGGCGGCCTGCAGGGTCCTGGCCAGAAATTTGGCCACAAACGTGACCAGCTTGACAGAGCGCTGCACGCGCGCGCTCGCCACGGCATCCGACGGGTGCAGTGCAGCGCCCACGCGAGCGCCCTCGTCAGCGCGATGGTTCCCCCACCTCGCGACGGCGCCACGCTCCTGCACAACGTCGTGACGGCGTCGGGCGTGGCCTTTGACTTTCAGCACTTCGACCCCCCCCAAGTCGTCCACCCGTTCCCATATCTGAGACCACGCGTCAGCACCCTCGCACGAGGCACCCGTGGTCTCAACTCGGCCTCGCTGGAAGCTCGTGACCACCCATTCGCAGTCCGTGTGGTAGCGAAAGGGGCCGAGCGAAACGCGCGTGAGATACATGAGCAGGCCATGCGCTTCAGCTAGGTCCGAGGCCTGGTGTAGACCAGGCAGAAGGCCGCGCAAGGACGCCACGAGTGTCCCGCGGTCGTCCACTTGCGCTACACACCAGCCCGCCCGACTGAGGCGCTGGTCGCCCTGCGCCAGAGCTGTGCGCGAGCCGTCTCCAAAGGCCTCTCCGTCGAAGTGTCCGTCCAGAGGGCGCTTGACCCAGCGGACAAGGAGGGGGAGGGACGGGCCAGGCACCCAGGGCCGAGGGTCGGGAACCAGGCCATGCCTCCAGAGGGCCCAGTCGGGGTGCTCGCGGAGACCCGACCAGACGGAGGGGGGGAGGTCGTAGTCTCGCACATGCAGCCAGGTGGCCAGGCAATCTCCCGCGATCCACGCGACAAAGGTGCCTGGGCAGCATCCGCACAAGGGGCACGACGGGTCGGTCGTCAGACCATGTCGAAACTTCCGAGCCTGGTCCCATATCCCGTTCGCGGCTATCGCACCGAGACTGGCCTGGTGCCGAGGGGTTCAGTCTGTGCCGCACGGTCCGTTGCAAGGCCTGCGGAGGGGAAACAAATAGGGACGGTGAAAGAGGCTCGACAGGAACTCGCAACCCCTTTGCGCACGATCCAACAGCCAGTCCTCGATAGCGAGTCGGACAACATGCGGCGCTGAACGGGGGCACATGCGAGTGAGGTCGATTTTGGCCCCCTCGTGCGTTAAAAGCATGCACATTCCTGGGCCGAGCCTCCACCCTATCCGACGGCAGCTGGCGACGGCGGTCGAGATCGGGCCCTTGACCAAGGGCCAATCGCTCTTGGACGGGTCGGCCAGGAACGCGGCCTCGGACGCAAACATCAGCCTGGCAATCGAGTCCCTGGGAATCCACGTGGACCAGATCGCCCGAGACAGCATGATGATGGGTCCTGCAGTGCATGCATAGGCGGGGTCCGCATACCACGGGGAGGCAGGGGCGAGGTGGAGGTCGATGTCGAGAGAGCGACGGGCGGTGTGCACAAACAGGGCAGAGTGCGCAGCACGCCTCATCGGTTCGATCCCACTCCACGCGCTCCTAGCCACACCCACTCCCAACATCCAGCTGGCGTCAACCCGAGGCTGGCCAGCTGCCGTGTTCTCCCTCGAGCCACACGGAGCAAACGAATGCGTACAACGCGGCGCAGGACTGTAGCAGTGCGCTTGGCCCGCGTGCTCACTCCCGCGCGGCGCCCGCTGGCGAAGTCGATGCCCAAGTTCCTCGCCGAGCTCTTGGGCTTGCCGCGCAGGGGGCGACAGCGTCTCGTGACCTCGCGCCCGCAGTCGGACGAGTTGGACAGCACGACGCCCTTGCCATCGTTGACGGCGAGCCCGTCCGCCGAGAGGTCGTCGCGAATCCTCTTGTAGGCCGCGCTGACATTGGCTGCCACAGCTCTTGGTGGCCCGACCTTGCTGAGCTGGGTGTCGTCGACCGTGCTGCCCGCGTCCGCCGTGCGTAGCGCCGCGATCTCGTCCAGCCGCGGGACGAGGCACATGCGCATGCATAGGTCGGCAAAGCTGCAGCCTGCCACTGCTCCGCGCCTCGGGCTGCACCAGCCCATGGCGACGCCGTCCACGGTGACCAGCCTCGGCAAGGCGTACAGCCTGACGAGCAATCTCATCAGCATCATGTTGAAGCCCATAGCGCGGGCGCGCACGACCAGCAGCGCCCACGGGATGTGTTCGTAGGCCTTGGAGAGGTCCATGGGCACCGTGCAGGACGCCTGCCTCCGATGAGTTGCCACCTCTGCGTTGGCCGCCTGGATCCACACGCGCGTCTCGCAGCTCTGGCCAGCTGCGCCGTAGACGTAGTCCCTCTGGTGGTCGCTGGCCCAACGGGCGACAAGCGTGCCGCGCGTCCAGCGCGTGAATGGCCTCAGGGAACCTGCGAACAACCCGATGGTGCGGAACCCCAACTCGGCCTTCGGGAAGAGCGCCATCTGCAGCACGGCCAACGCCTTCGGCACATGATCGAGGGCCATCATGTTTCGCCAGGCCGCTGTCAGGGCCACCAGCGCGCCATCCGACAGGAAGGTGACGTGCCGCGGGTGAAAGGCGTCGTCCCCCCATGCCCGTGAAGTGCGGGAAGGAATGGCCCACCTTCCGCAGCTCTTCGGGCGTCGGCAGCGGGGGGGCATCGCCGAGCTCCCCGGGCCAGCGGATTGCCTCCAGCCCCATCGCCCTGGCTCCACAAGGCGTGCCGCGGTCTGATGGCCGCGTCCGCCGCCTCTTGTGCCGTCTGCAGCCCCACCGCTGGCGACCAGCGTGCCGCTGCCCATTGGGCTGGCTCGCGGATCCAGCGGAAAACCTTGCGCATGCCATCTGCTGCCGTGGCGTCGCGCGTCCAGTCGACCCAGGCCTTGTAGCGCCTGTGCGACGCTCCCCCTGCTGCCGCCACCGCATGATGGCGCAGGTGGGCCAGCAGCTCGTCGCACTCGACCTCAGTGAAGCGATGCAGGCGCCGCGCCAGCCGCCGCCAAGTGTGCCGCGCCGTCTGCTCGCAGCCAGGGACGGGCGGCTTGAAGCGCAGGAGCTTCACCTGCAGGCTCCTGGCGTGGGCCCGAGCGGCCTGCCCCCCAGCCTGCAGCAGCCGCCACTCCTGCGCCCTGTCCGCCAGCCAGCCCCAGTGTGCATCAGCTGGGTCTGGCCGCTCGGTGGGCTGCCAGCTGCTGGATCGGTGGCGCTCCAGCTGCGTCTGGACAAGCTGCGCGCCCTCGCTCCTGCCGATGTACCTGCTGGCCTCGCGCGTGCCCTCCAGGTTGAAGTGCCTCAGCAACTCATCCTCGTACCTGTCTAGGACCTTCGCACATGCGGCTTCGAGGCTCGCAGGCGTGGCGACTGAGCCCAGGTCGGCATGAATGTCAGCCCAGTCAGGCCCAGGCAGCTGAGGCCCAATCGAGGCCTGGGCAGGGAACGCACGTGCCTTGTGTGCCCGCGTCACCAGCCCACCAGGCCTGGGCAGCGCCAGCTGCAGGAGGACCGCGCGGTGCGTCCTGACGTCTAAGTGGTCGCACCTGCTGACGTCCTGGACGGGCGTGTCGACGTCCACGCAGAAGTAGTCGAGCTCCCGCGCCGACGTCGCCGTGATGCAGGTTGCCTCGCCCGAGCACGCCAGCCGTGCACCCGCGGCAAGTAGCAGGTGTGCCTCGTTTACCACGTTGGGCAGCATGTTCCAGTCGGCCCCAACGACGAAGGGGCGGTGCATTGCCCTTATGACTGAGCCCAGGTTGGTGAGCATGTCCAGGTTGAGGTCGCTCAAGTCCTGGCTGGTGTGAGAGTACGCCGATGCCATGAGAGTGCCCGCTGTCGAGCCCAGCGAGGTCATCCAGAATCTCATGCGAGCCGAGCAGCGGATGGATCTGCGGTCGTCGCTGAACTCGATACGTCGAACCCGCGCCCACGGCCGCACCAAGATCCCCACGCCTGAGGACACGCCGCCAGCGGCCGCGGCGGACGCTGGGATGAGGTCCGGCACCCAGCCCGCTCGCTTGGCTGCGCGCACAGCTGCCGCCAGTCGTCGGTCGTCGTGGAGGCGGTGTTCCTGCAGTAGTATGGCCTGGTCCTCGTCGTCGACGTGGCCGCGCTCCAGCTGCTCCAGACAGAGGCCCCAGCCCGTGACGTGCACCGTCATGACCATCATGGTGTCGCAGCTGCCCCTGCGGGCCGATGCCCCAGTTCGTGCCCGAGGCGGCTCGACCTCCGTGGAGGGCCTCGCGCTGCGGGTGCCCCGAAGTGGCTCGACCTCCGACGTGGGCCGCGCGCTGCGGGGAGGGAGCGATGACCCAGTCCATACCCGAGGCGGCTCGACCTCCGAAGAGGGCCGCGCGCTGCGGGAACCCCGAGGTGGCTCAACCTCCGTAGAGGGCCGCACGCTGCGGGGTGAAGCACATGGCCGAAGGTGTTCATCCCCTTCCGACGTGTGCCTTGAGCGTCGGTGCTGCGACAGTGGGCCCCCCCCTGTCGGCTGCCAATTGCCGCTAGGTTCCTCCTCGCTCGCAGCGCCAGCAATAGCGGGGCTAGCCCATGGCCTTGATCTTCGACAGCGCTGTCCTCTCGTACGCCTCGTGCCAGAGGTCGCGGGGGCAGTCGTAGTGGTAGGTGAGGTCCAATTGGCGCCGTAGCACCCCCCTGAGTAGCCGAACGCCGACACGGTCTCGCGGTCGTAGTAGAAGAAGGGGCTGGCCTCGCACTCCCCCGAGTAGACCTCCAGCCCAGTGTGGTTCATAACGTGGCGGATGCACCGTCCCTTGGCCAGGTGGTCCAACTCCCTGGCGATAGCCTCGGCGTGCGCCGCATGCGCAGGCGCGCGGCGGCGCAGGCCTCGCCTCGTGCGTCGTGCGAAGCGGAGCTCACGCTGCCGCTCCACCGCTACGCCCGCCGCCCTTGGCTGCTGCTGCTGGCGGGGCCGCCTTGGCTGGCGGAGGTCCCCCAGCTGCCTTCCCCGCTGCGGCCAGGCGTGCCCGCCCCTGTGCCAGGGCGTCTGGGGCTGGGGGTGGTGCGGCGCCTGGGGCCTCCGACGCTGCTGCCGCCGTCGTCGCCGAGGCCGCGGCCGCAGGCGGCGCCGCGGCTGCCGCTGGGGCGTCCGCCTCCCGCGCTGCCGCCAGCGCCGCGGCGGTCGCGCCCTCGGCCGCGGGGTCGCCGTTCTCGGCCCCGTCCGTCCGTCCTGCGCTTCTTGGACTTGAGGCGTTCTCGCTGCTCTCGATGCGCCTCCTCCAGCTTCTTGACGTCTTCCTTGAACTGGCCAAAGGCCCCCCGCGCCAGGGAGCCGGACTTGTCCTGCAGGTCCTGGCGCCGACGCTGGACCTCCTGGCGGTCGATGTCCCCCACCACAAATCCGTCCAGCTCCTCCAGGCCGAAGAGGCCCTCGTCGTCCAGCGCCCACGCAGTCTCGCCCGCCAGGACGGCCGAGATGCTGAGCTTCGGCGCCGCCGACGAAGCCACGGGCTGCGGGGCCGCCTGCGCCGCCTCCGTATACGCCCGGGTGGCGCGCGCGAGGGACTCGGAGCGCTCCGCCACGCGCGTCTTGGCCTCGTCCAGCTGTTGGTGCAGCCCCTCAGCCTCCTGCAGGGCGGCCTGGAGCGACTCGGCCGCCGCATCTTTGGCCTTGGCGGCCTCGTCGACGGACATGGGCCTGGCCTCCCGCTGCGCCCGCAGCGCGTCGAGCCTAGCCTGGTACTTCGCCACCTCTGGGCCCTCGCCGCTGACACGGAGCAGCTCCACCAGCTTGGTGAGCTGGGTCTCCTCGGGATCCTCGGCTCCAGCGGGCGCCAGGGCGTGGGAGCTGGCACCCCTCGGCGCCCGTGCGCGGCGACCACCTCGGCCGCGACCCGCGGACGGCTCGCGCGCGCTGGCAGAGGCGCTGCCAGCGTCGTCCCGCTCGCGCCATGGCGGGCAGCCCCTGGCTCCTGCGCCTCGGCTGGGCGGCCTGCGCGAGTGGCCAGCTGCACTGCCGCCGCCAGCGCCACCAGGGCCAGACGGGCCGTCGCCGACGAGGGCCAGCGGCCTCCTGCAGTGGCAACACCACGACCACCATGTCTCATTCCTGCGGCAGCCGCAGTGCTGGCAGACGTCAGGCGCGCCCCCGCGCCCTGCCTGCGCGCATGCGGCCGCATGCATCGGCGGCGCGCTGCCGTGGTGGGCTGCCAGACGCGCGACGTCGCGCTGGAGCTGCAGTCGCCTGCGCGCCTGGGAGCGCAGGCGTCGCAGGCGCCGATGCCAAACTGGCGACCGCGACCGCCCCCCGCGGTCGGCAGCCGCCGTCGCGCCCAACCCTTGGGCGGCGCTGGGGGCTATCGCACGCGGGCCCCGCCGAGCCCCGCCGCGGGGCAAAACGGCTTGGCCCGCCGCGAACCACCTAGGAGGAGCAGGAGGAGCAGGAGGAGGAGGAGGAGGAGGAGGAGCAGGAGGAGGAGGAGGAGGAGGAGGAGGAGGAGGAGGAGGAGGAGGGGGAGGAGGAGGAGGAGGAGGGGGAGGAGGAGGAGGAGGAGGAGGAGGAGGAGGACGCGGTAAGGATGCAAGGGCCTTGGACGTCCGTTTCGAAGCTCTCCGAGCGGGGCGCGGCCAGCGAACGCGGCGAGGGATGGATCGAGGAGGCAAGGATGCAAGGGTAGCCTTGGAACATTGCCCCATCCTTACTATCGTGGTTGACTGTAAGGGGGCTCGACTGCAAGAAACACCTTCCACGAGAAACCTCAACCCTGAGACCCCAGGACGTCCATGGACTCTTGGCGTGGGAACGTCACGCCTTCTACAGCAGAACCACCGAAACCCAAGACACAAAGGGCGCCCTGGAGGCAAGCAAGGTGTTTCTTGGCATCTGCTCCCACTGTATCTCTATTTCGAGATCGTCCTGCATCCACCGTCCACTCTCATCACCCCTTCCGTGCTCCTCCCTCCTCTCCTCCTCCTCCTCCTCCATCCCTCCGTCCTTCCTTCCTTCTTTCCTTCCCTCCATTCGCATCGGGTGCTCACGTTTCTCCTACCTATCCTCCTCGTCCTCCTCCTCCTTCTCCTCCTTCTCGTCCTTATCCTTCTCGCCCTCGTCCTCCTCCTCCTCCTCCTCCTCCTCTGCTCCTCCTCTTCCTCCTCATTCGTTCCTTCCTTCCTTCTCTCCTCCTGCTCCTGCTCCTGCTCCTCCTCTTCCTGGCCCTCCTCGTCCTCCTCCTGCCACCTCCTACATCCTCTCTCACTCTGCTCTTCCTGCTGCTGCTGCTCCTCCTCCTCCTCCTCCTTCTCCTCCTCCTCTTAGTCCTCCTCATCCCCTCTCCAAGCCCTCCTCCTCCCTCTCTCCTCTACCCCCTCCCACCGCGCTGGTCTCTCTTCTCTCCTCCTGTTCCGTCCCCTCCACCTCGTTCCCGTCCTGGGCGTCGTCCTTACCGTCGTCGTCGTCGTCGTCGTTGTCGTCGTCGTCCAACTCCTGCGCCTGCTCCTCCTCAGCCTCCTCCTCCATGGTAACGACGGCGCCGAACGACGACGGACGATGGCGACGACGGGCGACACCGACGCCGACGCCGACGACGCCGGAGCGCCGAGGGGAGGCCTTCTGGCAATTGGAGATCTTGCTCGACGGCGGCGGGTCCTCCTCGCCGAGCCGCGCCGCGGCGGCCCTCCCGTCCCCTCCCGTGGCCCCGCCCTCGTCCTCGTCGCCGTTGCCGTCCTCGTCGCCGTCACCGTCGCCGTGGCCGTCGTCCTCGCCGGCGCCACCGCCGTCGTCCGAGAGGGTCATGGGGGGAATGGGGAGGCTCGGGCATGGCGGAGGGCGTTCTGGGTGTGGGGGGGTCCTGGGAGGTGCCGGAGCCCCCGCCTCCGCCATCCTTGCTTCTCATCCCTCTACACTTCTACACGTGAGAAACTAGAAGCACGCGCCCGCTTCGCGAGCGCTCATGTTCTGGCAATCTCGAGCTGTGATTTTACAGTGCTCGGCATCGGAGGACAAACATCGTCACACGGATCGTGCCCCTCAAGGAGCTCCACCGACGGCCGAAATGATAGGCTTGGCTGAACGTCCCCCCGCCTGTGTCGGCACACCCCTCACAGGGATTGTGCCCCACAGGGAGCTCGACCTACGTCCCCATAGACAAGGTTCGCATAGAAGAACGCCCTTCACGTGGATCGTGCCCCGCAAATAACTGCATGTGCGGCACCGAAAGGAAGCTCCATAGCTCGCTCACTTCGGCACACCCCTCACACGGATCGTGGTCCGCACGGAGATCCACGGCTCTCCCACAGATCGTGGCCCACAGGGATCTCCACCTGCGGCCCCTGAGGCAGGATTCGCACTGCGCCACCCTTCCTGGCCATTGCGGCACACCCCATCACGCGCATCGTACCCACAAGGATCACCACCTGCAAGCTCAGAGACACAGGTCGTATAACGCCACCCCGCCAATGTCGGCTCACCCGTCACGCGAATCATACCCCAGGTGCTCCACCTACAGTCGAGGCGTTGACCTAAGGAACCCTAAGTAAGGAACGAGGCCCCTTTTCCCCATACATTCAACCTCGATTTCCTATGGAAAACCACCGGAAAACCCGAGGCAAACTCTGAAACAATCAAGGAACACCGAGCCTCTCCCCAGCGAAAAGGGTTCCTTCCTCAGGGCCCCGACTGTAGCCCAGGTGCTCCACCTATAGCACCAATGGGCAGCTTCGCGCGGCGTTCACCCCGCCCATTTCGGAACGCGCCTCGCGCGGGTCGTGCCCCCAGAGGACCCCTCCGCCTGTGGCTTCTCAGTGGGCGTGTGTTGCGCGGGGGCATGCGACTTATTCGTGACGCGCTGACCGTGCCCCAAAAACACTCCAGCGCTCTCGTGCACGCGTGCTCCGCAGCAGCCCGCTTTCCGCGTTGCCCCGCGGCGCGCAATATATGAACACAGACCCGCGTCCTGCGCTGCACATGACTGCATAGGGATGGGCCCGTCGACAAGCCACCACTCCATTGCTCATCTATGGTCTTCGGCCAATGCCGCAACCGTGCCTGAGTTTTGGGCCAGAGGCTTCCTTGGGTACCTGTATTTCGGTGCCTCATGGCATGCTTCTCGAGCGCCTCGTGGAGCGACGTTTGAAACTTCTGGTGGCCTCTTGTGGGGGCCTCGTCTGGGGCCCTTAGGGGCCTCTTGGGTGCCTGCTGCGGCGTCCCAGGGCTCACTCGTCACGGAGGGCTCGACATGTCGTTTGGAGTCCCCCCTCTTACGTCTTGGGCCGTCTTGGGGCTCTCTTGGGGGCCTCTTGGGCCGTCTTGGACGCTGCGAAGGTTCCAAACGTCGCCCGTTTTCCTCAGCTAATTTTGCCTCTTCGGGTCCTCTTGGGGGTTCCTCTTGGCGCCGTCTTGGGGCGTCTTGGGAGCCTCTTACGCCACCTTGACGCCATCTGGGACCGTCCGAAGGCCATCTTGGCCCGTCTGTGACCTGCTTGGAACCTACCTGGACACTCCGGGTCCTGTGGCAACTCATGGGAGCCCCCCATACCACCTTGTCGGCTCTTGCGAGTCGACGCTGATCCACGCTGAATCGACGCTAATCGAGGCTGGCCGACGCCAAAGCGGCGCTATCTCATCGACTTGCAGGCGCGAGTCGACGCTAAAAACAGAACTTCATTTGGGGTACACCAGGCTCCCACGACTTGCGACTCAAGCTGGGGGGGCCCTCCGTGGAGGCCCCGGGGAGGCCCCTCGGGGGGAGGGGGAAAGATACTGCTCTCTCCTCTCTCCCCCGACCCTACCCAGAGTATGACCGGCCCTCTCAGCGTACTTTTCTGACCCGCAGGGTTTCAACTACCTTCTTGTTTTTACAGTCTGGCTGTTTTCGGTTTTTGGAAATGTCCTCCCGCTGCAGCGTGGGCCTCATCTTCGGATCGTCGCTTTGCCCCCGGCGTTCAGCATGGCGCTCTGGCCCCAGCGTGGGCCACTTTTCTGGATCCGAGTCCCTTTTCATCGTTATCGCCCCCTTCATTTCCCCTCCTCCGCCTTCCCCGAGTCCTCCTGCTCCGCTCCTGCCGCTCCTCCCGCTCCAACTTCTGCTGCTGTTCGTCGTCGACCTTCTCCTTCCTCATCCACCCCCCATTTCCTCCTGTTCATCCGCCACCTCCTCCTCCAACGTACGCAGCTCCCTTTTGCCTCCGATTGCGCAAACCACGATCTGTAATCCTCTTTTGAGGCCCAAGTCCGCGATGACCCGCGCCAGCGGATAGAATTATCCGGGCCAAAAACCAAGCAAGCAGTATGCAGATGTGAATACCGCACTGTGGGCACCGCCTTCGACGGAGGCCTGTGCTGTACGTGCCGGCATGGGCGGGGGGGGCTCCTGCGGAGCCGCCCTCCTGGGGGCTTCGTTGGAGCTCCTGGCTGGGCCACGAAGCGTGTGCAGGGCCCTCCGACACGGGCGGATGACCGCATGCTAACCCACCCACTCCTGGGGGCCTCGGTGGAGCGACCCGTGGGGCCAGGGAACGTGCGAGGGGTGTGCCAAAACGGATGACGAACCGCATGCGCAACTCCCCTCCTGGGGGGGCTTTGGTGGAACTCCCTATGAGGCCGCGCAGCGTGTGCGGAATGCGCCGACATGGGTTGGGAGAGCCGCATGCGAACCAAATCTCTCCCGGGGGTTTCGGTGGAGCTCCTCATGAGACCGCGAGACATGTGAGGGGTGTGGGGTGTGCCGGAATGGGTGGGGAACCGCATGCGAAACTCTCTCCTGAGGGCTTCGGTGGAGCTCCCTAGGGGGCCACGACACGTAGGAGGGGTGTGTTGGAATGGGTAGGGGAACCGCGTGCTAACCCCTCTCCTGAAAACTTCGGTGGAGCCCGCCTTTGGGCGAACCGTGGGAGGAGTGTGCCGGAATGGGCGGGGGAACCGCGTGCGACCCCCCCTGCGGAGGGCTTCGGCGGAGCTCCTTATGAGGCCACGAAGCGTGTGAGGGGAGCGCTGAAGTGTGCATGCGGAGGGCAGGGGCAGGAAAAGGAGGAGGGGGGAGGGAGGAGGAGGGAGGACACTGGACGCTGTCTCTTCACAACGAGGACCCAACACCACAGGACGGTCCAGGAAAAACTGAGTAATGGGAAGGGACGGGGGGGAGGAGTAGGATGTCAGATGTGGCGCACGTGCGCCTATCTTACCTCCTCCCCCTCGCCCTCCCTCGTCCCTCCCTCCCTCCCTCCCTCCTTCCTCGTCGTCGTCGTCGTCGTCGTCGTCGTTCTCCAGCTCCGCCTTGTCGTCGTCGTCTTCGTTCTCCTCCTCCTCCTCATCGCTGTTGTCCTCGTCGTCTCCGTCGGCCCTTTAACTCTCCCTCCTCTTTGCTACCTGCGCCGCCTCGCCACACGGAAGCCCCGCGATTTGGTCGCGCAGCGGGAGAGGGAGAGATGAGGGGGATGGGAGGGGAGGAGAGCAGGCATGTGAGAGGAAGGGAGAGGGAGAGAGGAGGGGGATGGGAGGGGATGGAGAAGAGGGGGAGGGAGAGAGATACGGGGAGAGGAGTAAAACATGGGGAGACTAAAGGGAATGTGGGGAGAGGGGCGGTGGGGGACAACAGGAGGGGGCGAGGCGGAGAGGCCCGGAGGGGGCGGGAGGGAACGAGAGGGGGTGGGATGGGAGGGGCGATGAAGCGGGGGGGGGGGAGAGGAGGGAGGACCGAGAGGGCAAAAGGACGGAAGAGGAGGGGAGTGCGGGGGAGGAGGGACGGGGAGGGAAGCACTGCGAGAGAAGACGTGGGAGGCTGGGGACACTTCGGCAACAATTTCCTACGCAACAATACAACTCGGTGCTGACACTTTGAGATGGACAACACGTTGATGACGCTCTGCTGGGGCTCGTTGCAGCCCGCGTCCGCCACTGTGCTGGATGCTTTGCTGCCATCCTCGAGTTCTCGCGAGGGTTTGACTAGGGTCCTTCGTGTTTGGGCGGTGGGCCAGATTCTGCATACAGTCGGGGCCTTGACCTAAGGAACCCAAAATAAGGAACGAGGCCCCATTTTTCCATAAGTTAAACTTCGATTTCCGATCGAAAACATAAGGAGAACCTGAGGCAAGCTGCGAACACACTTAAGGAACGCGGAGCCCCTCCCCAACGAAAAGGGTTCCTTCTTCAGGGCCCCGACTGTATGATGGCAGAGCCACTGCAATTCTTGCAATGTCGTCGGGCTTACGCTCGCGTGCCCAGGCGTAGGGGGCTGGGCGATGAGAGGACGGGACCTAGTGGAAGGAGGCGGGAGGGGAGAGGAGAGACAAAGGAAGGGAGACGCTGAGATAAGCAGATCCGAGAAGAGGTGATCATGGGGACAATCGGCAAACGACCGACGAAGCGGCGGCGGCGGCCGTGCGTGAGACACCTTTGGGCAATGTGTGCGTCGATGGGCCACGCGCACGGCCGAACCACCCACGTCATAATGATCGTCGTAGACTTCCTGGATCGGAGGGACCTTGGCGCATGCCTCGTCAAGGCAATCTCGGGCCTACGCGTGAAACGCATCACACCTCTGAGGCGGTGAACATTCTTGCGATGCTGGAGCCGGTCACCATCACGCTAAGATAGAGGGTCTCCTGGCCTCGACGACAATCTGACCACCAATGGTGAGGCATACTGTGCTATGACTCCCGCGGTGTTTCGAAATCCTTCTGGGCGCGCTTGTAGTAGGACGCATATCCTAACCCCCCACACAACACTGACCTCTCCAACGCTCGACAGTGCACGAACGAGGGTTATTACATCCACTGGAACTACCTGTAATGAGACGCGTGACAGCCGATCATGGCGCAACTATCCCCATCACACTTGAACACATCTAATGCTCCAACGTCGGTGACGTCTTGAACACCGGACTCGTCACTCCGACGGACAATGCGACATTACGTTCTGGTTCCCATCAAAGTGATGAAATAAAGGGCTCCGCAACGTTGGGTGAGATGGTCATGGCCATGTCGGTTCGCGTGTTCTCAGCCTGGTCAAGACGATGAGAACGTCATGGACGTGGTGACCGTCGCTAATCATCAACCTTACATGCTCCTGATCTCTCCTCAAGCGGGCTATACAACATGCGTGCTCTGGCTGAATCGCTTACTCATTCTCCCTGCCCCGCTTCTGACGCTCTCTCTCACTCTTTCGTTTTTTTGGCTTCTCTCTCTCTCTCTCTCTCTTTCTCTCCCTCTCCACGCACAGTATCCCCCGCTGTTCGCATACATCTGGACACCATATATATACACATGTATATATATATATATATACATACATCTCTCTCTCTCTCTCCTTCTTTTTTCCCTCTCTCTCTCCTCTCCCCAATCTCCATCGCATCCTGCCGCTGCTGTAGCTCACTGCAAACATCTTGTGCGGACAAAAAGGCTTGCCATGTTTGGTGCCAATGCGGAACCTGCTGAGCCGGGCGTCGCCTTCGCATCTATCCAGACCCGAGGAGGAGCAGGAGGAGGAGGAGGAGGAGGAGGAGGAGGAGGAGGGGGAGGAAGAGGAGGAGGAGGAGGAGAAGGAGGAGGAGGAGCAGGAGGAGGATGAGGAGGAGGGGGGGGGAGGAGGAGGAGGAGGAGGAGGAAGAGGAGGAGGAAGAAGAGGAGGAGGAGGTGGTGGCTGAGGACAAGGGGGGATTCTCGAATGCTCTGGCTGCGCGCCGGCACGAGCCTCTGTGCGACCGATCTGCTGTATCGTGTCCGTCGGGCTGGGCAGCGTCTGCGAGCAACGTCGGAGTATGGCCATACGTAACATTAAACATATGTCGAATCCTCTCTGGACACATATGCGCCTAGACCTACGCTGAGAGCACGAGCACCAGGGAAAACCGAGGGAAAGACCCAATGGTCCCAACTATGATTCCGAAGACAGCGTGGTCCCCAATCCAACGTGTTGAGCGTGACGTGTTTTCGTTACCTTTCTATTTGGCTAAACACCATCGGCGTGTACCAATGACGCAACTATGGCGAAACAGCGCGCCAACGCCTAGACTCCTGCGGACCACCGTAAACGCGATCACATGGGCAAAGACTGCGCTGATGCCCCATTATACCTATGATGCGGACGGTGTATGGCAAAATATACATTTGGACACCATGCTAATCTATGTAATTACCCACGCCCATTCGGTTCAGAACGGGTCCAAGGCCCCGCCGAACCGTGACTTTGAACGCAACAATGTGGTACGTTGCTTTGCCGCCCGAACTGTCTAGGTCCGCCACCGTGCCCTGCCACGCGTGGACCGTGCGGAAGGCCCCTTGAAACCCTTCACTTTGAACATGGTCCATACTCCGCAAAACCCGAGACCTCCAACTCACGGAATTTCTCAACGCTCCTGGCGTATTGCGCTTGATCACCCCCGGCCACCGGCCATGGGAACGTTGTTCGGGATCCGAATCTCAGAGAGGACGCTTTTCACCAGGCTGTGCATTGCAAAATTCCAAGTTTGCCCCTCCTGGAGCCAAGGCCCCCTCTCCCGTAAAGTCCCTCCTCCATCACACGGGCCCGCGCTAATATGTACTAGGGATCCGTGGATCTGGCGCGTGGGCGCCAGCTCCACACATCGGAGGACGTACCCCCAGAAACATGGCGGAAATGCCGCCCGACTGGGCAACGAAAACGAAACCGTTGGCTAATCCACGCGCCCTAATCCGTTGGTGGTTCCTCGAACTACCAAATCCCCCTGCCCCCCGTCCCCAGCGAGAAGCCCCTCCCCCCTCCTCCCCACCGGAACACGTGTGGTGTGTGGGGGAGGTCACCCCCCTCCCACTGTGCGCCACCAAATCGACGACTGCACGCTGCAAAAGACGGCAACGACGCTGCCGAGCACGACGACGACGACCACGACGACGACGAGGACGATTGGGAACATTAAGGGCCTTCCTGGAAGTTCGGACGGTTGCCACGAGAACCACACATCGTCTAAACCTGTAGTTGTTGTGTGATTTTAGCATTCCCAGCTACCAACGCCGAGGACGACCCGATATGCCCCCCCACAATTGCTCTAAGACGGCCTCCGAGGTCCCAAAAGGGGCCCATGAAGCCACCGAGACGGCCCCATGATGAGCCCATAAGGGGAACCCCTGAATGGTCCCGTAATCCGCCATAGGCCCCGTAGGGGACTTCAAGAAACTTCCAAGAGGCCCCCAAGAGACCTGCAGGAGGACCCCCGAGAGACTCCCAAAGGCCTCGTGTTCGTGAGCCGGCCCAGCAACGGGATGGGCCGAAGAACGCTGGATACTACTGGTGTTCGCCACGCACTTGTTGGTGTTTGGCCTGTTGAGACGTCCAGTAAACATATTTCCGAGTGCGGGCATCTTGGTATTATCTACTGCCTTGAGCGAACTTGCTGGTGCTTGCGTTTAGCATCTTCAACCTTCTGCATCGTTTTGGTTTGCATGCAGTCTGCGCTTGAAAACAGGACGGCGTACCTGTGGAACACCATCTGATTCGCACACGGCTTGCGACTTCAGCTTGCGGACGTTCCCTCGAGAAACGCGAATCGGATCAACTTCGGCACCTTCGACCCCTGGGGGGGCCCTGGCCGGGCCGCCCCTCTGGGGACCCAGCATTGAAGGGGCCCCAGGACACACAAATAAATGCACACAAATAAAGATATCCCCCATATTTTCCCATATTTTCTGGGTTTTTGTCTCCCCCCCCCACTTCCCATATTTTCCCATATTTTCTGGAGAATCGACGATTCATTGTGTCTGTGTGTTTTCTTCCCTCCTCAAGCATGGAGAAACTCGAGGCCTCGGATCTCTGGGAATGCCCCTCTCGTTTACAGGAAGGCTCGCGTCGTGCCGACGTCGGCGCTTGCTCCTGACACCGCGGGGATCGCTCGACCTTGCACGATCGGCGGTCTCCGAAACGTCAAGTCGTTCAACTTCGAACGAGTCTGGGTCGCTGGTGGCGTTCAACGTTGAACGCCGGCGGCAGGGTCGCCGCCGGTCGACACGACAGGAACCTGCAGCAGGGGCTCAGCGATCCACGCGGGCTGCGCCGTCGACGACATGACGGCGGTTAGGGCCTGAGGCTTCTCCTGCCGGATCTTGCTGTAACCTATAACCTGGCCGCTTGCTTGGGATGCGGCGCTGGGAGTGAGGCAGGCTGGAATGCGGGGAGGAGAACCAAGTGGGGAGACAAGGAGAATGAGGACAAATGAATGCATCACCAATCATTGTGTGAACTTGCCGGCTCACGGTTGTCTCTCACGTTCGGTGGATGTGGAGCGGGGAGGAGCGGGCTGAGACATACCACCTGAAGCAAGAAACATGAGCAAGCAACCGATGCAACGCCCGCATGTAAGCGTAGCGCAGGCGCACGAGCAGACTAGCGGTGCGCACTCCTCGACGTCCTGCGGTCCCAGTCATGATAGGCAAGCGAAACTCCTGCTCTCTATGTCCATCTGCAGCCGCGACCGAAGAAAGAGGCTGTCAGAAGAGGGCACAAGGCCCGTGCAACACCGAAGACGAAGAGAGAACGAGAGGGGGCAACAAAAACGTCAAGACAACATGATGCTGCAGGGTCGACCTGACCATTCGGTCGCAAATGCACCCGCCCCTGGCCAACAATTTAGCGATTCACTCTCGCCAACCAGCTCCACTTTGCCCAAATCTAAATCACAATCAATCAATCATACTTTGCGGTCGGCGCCTGTTGAACCCGCCCTGGTGGAAGGAGAGGGGAGGAGCGAAAACGGTGACGCAACCCTTGCGCCACAACGAAGACACCATCCAGATGGATGTACTTGAAATGCTCACTCCGTGTCTACCATGCTCGTCCACGACGGCAACACCGAACACCGACCGGACCGACAGCAGAAAACAGCCCAGAAGGGCGTAGCGACGCAGCCGACCGAACCGAATCGCGGACACGCTTGGTGCCCACCCAAAGCCACAACTCACGCGAGCTTCTAATGAGCGGACCAGCATCTTCTGTCTTGAGAGGAGCAACGGCAGAGGGAAACAATTAGTGACCCCCCCCCCCCGCCCCCCAAACTCAAAGTTGGCACGCGCGGGAGAGACTGCGGTCGAGGTGCAACTCATCAGACCCACCGCCAACTTTGAACATTGGGGGGAGGGGGAGGCGTTCACAGATGAATGTGGCATGAGTGTTCGCTATTTTCCCCGAAACCTGACTCTTCCGACCATTGAGTATGCGAGGGGCCTTCTCTGCCCCCGCCGACGAGCCCATCCACGCCATGTCCGAGGCTCCGAAGCCATTCCGAGACTATCCGAAAACATCCCCACGCTATCCGAAGCCATTCCAAGGCCATCTGGGCGCCTATGAATAAAGGCGAGGCCAGGACGAGGATCAATTCGGGTAAACATAAGCCGAATATCTCTGATATCCGGCGGCTATGGAAGATGTCTCGGTCGCCGCGGCCTTCTTAGAGCGTTCGGGAACGCTCTGAGAGCGTTCGGGAACGCTCTAGAACGGCTTTTTGGAGAAACCGGAAGGTGCCAATTCTGCTACCCCTCTACCACTCTGACCTCTCCTGGGGTGCGTTCTGCCCAGGGAATCTCGAGGCGAATCCAGCAGTAGCGACGAGGGCCAGCCAAGAGGCGCCCCCAAAAAGGGGGAAAAGGCGAAGGGTAGGGGTATGGGTACCTTTTCCTCCCTTCTCCTCCTCCTCCTCCTCTGAAATTTATCCTCCTCCTAGCCCCGTCCGATGAATGCAGCAGGCGTCGTGGCAGATTCTACGTCCAGGCGACCCAAGCGTTTGATTTTCCGATATCGCTCGGATCGTTCAACCTGGAGCAATCGCGGGCTTTCCGACAGGGAGGCCGCCGGATATCGGCCGGGTCTCTGGGCCAACGGCGGCGTCCGCCCTTGACCGCCCACCCTGAGGGGTCGCCGCCACGTCTGCCGTTGCCGCAGCCTGCCACGGTTCTGCCCCGCCTCTGCCCCTGCCATTGCCCCGATGCTGTCCTGCCGTGGCTCGGCGGCGAGCGAGGAGGGAAGTAAGAAGGAGAAAACCCTCTCAGAAGGCGGCTGGACTTCTCAGAAGCCTTCTGGCCTTCGGGGGAGTTTGTGCCTTCGGGGAAGGCTCTGCAAACTTCCCAGAAGGCCAGGGGACTTCCGAGCCTTCCGAGAAGGCCCCCCCTTCTCTCTCCCGCCCCCCCCCCCTGGGTTCGCCGCCGAGTAGCCTGCCGCGCCCTGCCACTGCCCTGCCTGTCGCGCGGCGCGAACCTGCTGGCCTGGCCTTCAGCTTACTGACGTTACTGGTCCGCAGCCTTCTCCGCCCCACCGAGACGGAGGATGAGGAGGAGGTGGAGGAGGAGGTGGAGGCGGAGGAGAAGGAGGGAGGGAGGGAGGGAGGGGGGAGGGAGGGGAGGGAGGGGAGGGAGGGAGGGAGGGAGGGAGGGAGGAGGAGGAGGAGGAGGAGGAGGATGAGGAGGAGGAAGCCACATCCTGCTGCTGCCGCTGCCCTCGCAGCCAGGACACCCCCCTTGCGGCACGCGCGGGCCGGCGCGCGGAAGCGCGGCAAGCCCCCAAGCGCGTGCCGGGGTGACGTCGACAGGCCTCGCGGGCGGGGAGGGGGTGCAGTAGGGGAACAAAAAACGACATAAACATAACAACTCGGAGGGGGTGCAGACGGGACAATGACCACAGCCACTGCTTCTTGTTTGCTCCGCCTTCCAGCCAGCCGAAAAAGAAGCAGTGTCAAGCTTAACGAACATGACCACAACCACTGCTCTGTTTCTGCTGGCTGGAAGGCGGCAACAAAAGAAAAGCAGTGGCTGTGGGCGGAGTTCGGGCAGGGGATCGACCACGAAATTGATCTGCCCCCGATGCTGTTTCTCGGTCGAACATCCTCGGAACATGCGCAACACGGCTGCCTAGTCCGTACACCTTCTGCGTATCTGTGTTTTGGATGCGGCGAACATCGCCAGCTTGGGGCAGATCAATTCTGTAGTTGATCCCCTGCTTGAACCAGACGGCATCCAAAGACACTGCAATCGTGCCTTGGATCAGCGCCGCTTCCACCCAGAGGGGGTAGGTCCCAAACCTCCGACGCCATGACTAATCGACTGCTGACACGTTTTGTCGATCTCGGCCCCTGGAGGCCCCGCTCCGGGCCCTGGGCCCGCCGAACAGCTGCTCTGAACGAAGGACTGGGGGCACTTCCAGGGACCCCGCATGGGGGCTCTTGCCACTGTCTTGCCGCGCCTCTCTGACTTGCCTGCTGGGCCCCTGGGCCTACAGTCGCCGTGCAAACACGAGGAACGCCTACTGAAGAACGCCTACTGAGAAACGAAGACGCTTTTCTGGCCAAGGCGGGCCTAGGCCACAACCAGGTTCCACGATACAGAGATCTAAGGAGCGGCACGAAAACCCGAACCCCCCATACCTCCGACACCACATTTTTTTGTATAACGTCGAACCGCAGATATCTCGACCCATTCCCTGGGACCGCTTTTTCATCGTGACTTGTTGTTGACGGTCCCGAGGTCTGGTACGGGCCTCCAGAGGCCGAACATTTCGAATAACCTTCTGTCGTGTACTTTTTTTGTTCACGTCGCGAGGGGGTCTGGGCTCCTGAGCCCAAAGTTCAGTCGGGCCTGTCCCCCTACAGGGGGATTTCCGACGAAAAATAAAACATACACCCCAACAAAAATTCAAAAATATCAACACATAGTCCGGGGACTATTGTTTGAGCATTTTTTGGCCAGTTTGGGGATTTTTGTGGTATTTGTTATTTCTCGTCGAACATCCCCCTGTGGGGGGACACGGTCCTTCTTTCGGTCGGCGTCTCGGCGTCTTGGCTGTGCCTGCGGGGGGGGGTGCTCTGACCCCGGCCAGCGGCGCCCCAGTCTGGGGACCGTACTTCGGAGGGGGCACTCGTCTCCCCCCCCAGGAGGAGGAGGAGGAGGAGGAGGAGGAGGAGGAGGAGGAGGAGGAGGAGGAGGAGGAAGAGGGGGAGGAGGAGGCCGAGGGAATCAGGGGCAACGTCAGGTGGGGATAAACCCATCCGCGGGGGGTGGGGGTGGGCACATGCCGTCGGGGCGGGTGGAGGAGGGGGGGTAGCAGTAGGAGTAGGCAGCAACTGTGGGTGCAAGAGTGCCTAGCGACAAAAACGATTGAACAAGAGTCCCTTGCAGCCGCCTGTCTAGGGCGGCCTTGCTCAGGACTTTGGGGGTGAGCCCGGATCTAATTCGTTCCAGGGTTTGCCCACTGACCTCAGCTGCTTGTCAACTATCGCCTCGCAAGTCCCACACAACCAGATGTGTAACGCTGTGTGATAAGTAAAGGGATGAGAGGAGTGAAACATCTAAGACCCAAAGCATCTAAAACACTTCGATTTGCACTCCGGGAGCCAGACAGAAAGAAAGGGGGAGAGGTCAGCAGCAGCAGGGGGGCGGGGGAGGGGAAGGGGAGGACGTGTGACCTCCTCCGTTTTCCGATCCCAAGCCTCAAGCCCTGCAACTCCTTGGCCGCACAATCTAGAGTGGTTCGGAGCAAACGCACACGGACCATCATGGCCCGTCATTCGTGCATGTGTATCCTTTGCCTGTTGACTTCAGGGGCACTACGCCGATTAGAGAGGCACAATTGGCGAGCTCGTCGGCAACAGTGTTGGCGAGCACGAGTCTGTTGACGGCCCTCCCTCCGCAGAAATCGCTGGCCTCTTAATGGCTCCGAAAAAACAAAACAACGACCCCAACATGAGGGGTGGGAACACATCAACTTGCCCAGATCCGTCCAAATCTCTGCGTCCCTTGCTCGTTGGGCGCGCGGCACTCGCACTCGCACGGGCTCTTCGCCAAGGGCTCAACATCAGTGAACATCAGTGATGTGTATGACGCGCCCGGAGGTGCAGAGAACAGCACGGTGAAGGGTTTGGAGCTCGTCCCTCGCCACTGCCTGGCGCTGGGGGGCCTAGCGCAGAGGCCTCCGAAACAAGAGGAGTGAGGGTTCTGCTTCGGGCAATCGCAGGCCTTGCGCGCCCAAGCCAGGGCCACCTCGAGTCGGGCCCTCCCGAGGCACCGTGAACTCTGACGCTGGGAGGATCGCGGGAGCCGTGCCCGCGGCGCCCACCTTCGACGTCGCCCGCGCCCGCCGCAGTCCACGAAAACCAAAACCAGCAAGGTCAAGTGCGCGTGTCCATCCGCCGAGCGCGTTCCGCTGCTCGCAAAGTGCCTGCTCGCAGCAGTCCGAAAAACACATGCCTGCTCTGATGTGGTTTCTCCCAGATCCCCCGCGGAGGATCCGGGCCATTTGCGGGAGCAGTTGCTCTGCGAGCAGTGGAGCGCGCTCGTCGATCCGTTCTTCTGTAAGGAGCCTTCTAAACAACACCGTCTCGTCCGTATGAAGCCGGGCTCCTCCTCCTCCTCCTCCTCCTCCTCCTCCTCCTCCTCCTCCTCCTCCTCCTCCTCCCCCTCCTC